CCCCCCCCTCCGATCCCTCGAAACTCCTCTGCCCAACAAAAGGCATTACACCCGGGATACGGCTTTCTCTCCGAGAATGCCACCTTTGCCAAGCAGTGCGCCTCCGCGGGAGTCACGTTCATCGGGCCCCCTGAAAAGGCCATCGATCAGATGGGCTCGAAAAGCGTGGCCAAGGCCATCATGTCAGACGCTGGAGTTCCCGTATGCCCGGGATACCACGGGGAGGACCAGAGCGACGCTTTTCTAGAGGAAGAAGCAAAGAGGATGGGGTTTCCGTTGATGATTAAGGCGGTGATGGGAGGCGGGGGCAAGGGTATGAGATTAGTTCAGACGCCAGAGGGTTTCCAGTCGGCTCTGGAGGCGTGCCGGCGGGAGGCGGCAGCGGGATTTGCGGATGACCGCATGCTGCTTGAGAGGTGCGTGTTTCTTGGTGTAGTTGAGAATGATTTGTATGGGATCGTGTATCTTGGGAATGACATGGTTGAGGACGGCGTTTTCCGCGGGACTGCTGTGAAGTGTGGGCTGGCGAGGTACTGGTTTTTGAGGAAACAGGAGTACGCCGAGGTGCCGCCAGTGGTCTTGACGTGCTAGGGGAAAGGGTTGCGAATTTTGTTCGGTGCGGGCTGGGCAGTGATGCCAGGTATGGACAACGAGCCAGGTGCAGTCTACTCCGGTCGTCTCCTCTACCATGCTCCCATTCATTTCCACTGTACTGATACCTTTGGAATCCGGGGTCACCTCCTTTTGCCCCCCTACCCCTGGACCGAAAAAGGTATGTAAACGAGCCGCGACACGTGGAGGTACAGGTTTTCGCAGATACCCTTGGTAACGCGGTTCACCTGTTCGAGAGAGACTGCTCAGTACAGAGAAGGTGAGAAACGATTATGTGACACCGGCTGAGCGATGAGATGTTTCTTGCATAATAATGCATTTAACTGTGAGGATGGCAAGGGTTGCTATTTTGCTAGAGCTCATCGTGTGTCGTCCGGAAACGCTTGGGTTGGGTGCGACGAATTACATGTACAAAGCATGAAACAGCAGTCTGCCACGCCTTGGTCAAGGCACCGTTTCCTGTAGAGTCGCACCACTAGTACACGTTCCTGCATACCATCCCACTCCTTTACCAACTCCCGTGGTCGACGTCGACTCGCCGGGTCTTTCGAACACGCGCGCGCTGCTTCAGGCACCAGAAGGTTCTCGAAGAGGCTCCGGCCCCGGGCATTAGTGATGCCACCAGGGCAGAACTGGGGGAGGCCGCCGTGCGCGCTGCTAAGGCGGTGGGCTACGTCGGGGCCGGGACGGTGGAGTTTCTGATGGACACGAGAACGCAAGAGTTCTTTTTCTGCGAGATGAACACGCGCCTGCAGGTAAAGGGCGGGGGGGAGGGCGCGAAGAGGGTAACATGCTCTTGTTGCTTAACGCTCTAGCCGCGTCTTGACGTTACCGCTGAGGGCCGTTCTGGTTTGTACCTTAAGGAAGAAGTGCGGCGTGTGTATATCGGGTATGACGTCAATTGGTGTCCCGTGAAACCATTCTATGCATGAGAGGGACACGGGACGTCTCGATGTGGCCGATACCGACATCCATTGTTGTCTCATTCGAAGTGGCGTGTGCCGACTCGTCTTTCCAAGTGCCCCGGCCGATGTGAGGAGCACCACAAAAAAGTCTCGCGACGAGTCCAGCGGTGACTGATATCCGCTCATACGCGTCGTCCATTGTGTTTCGACAGGTGGAACATTCAGTCACGGAGATGGTCACGGGTCTGGTGAGAACGGGGGCAAAAGGGAAAACGGGGGGGTGCGAGGGAATAGAGTGATTGAGCTGCTCGTGGCCTCATTCGAAACAACATCAGGGTACAGAGCGTTGTTTTTCCCTACCTTGCAAGCCAGGAACTTCTTTTTCTCGGTCCCGTTGGGGCGCTTGCCCGTTAACGCATCTAGAAACCCGAGACATGCGGCGGGTTTAGTTCAGCACCCCCCGGGTATGCCACGCTACAGCTTTAGTACCGCTCCTTACCAGAAACTACGACCAACGCGTACCGAGCACCCAGATCAACTTCCCAAGGGTAACCCGGCATCGCGATACACGCAGGAGCGAACACATTCGATGGAAAATTTGCTCCCCCCCTCAATCCTCGCGTTTGCGCCACCCTAATATCGAAAGGACCTGGTGGAGTGGCAGCTTCGCGTCGCCGCTGGCCAGGAACTCCCCTTGAAGAACCAGGCAGACATTCCGCTGGTCGGGCACGCTATCGAGGCACGAATCTGCGCGGAGAACGTCGCCCGAGGATTCCTGCCCGTCGCGGGAACGCTGCGACGCATGCGCCTGCCCTCGAGAGCCGGAAGCGGCGGCGGCGGCGGCGGCGGCGGCGGCGGAGAGGTGAAGATAAGAGTGGACACCGGGGTGCAAGAGGGGGACGCGGTGAGCGTGCACTACGATCCCATGGTGGCCAAGGTGGGCGGTGGGCGCTCTAGCGCGGTGTTACGGGAAAGGCGGGTGGTGATGAGAAGAGACAGGGTGGGGAGGGGAGGGGACAAGCGTCCCCGTGGCGGGGGTGCTTGCGGACAAACACCTCCACAACCCTGCTGGCTGTTGTTGTGTATCCAGGCTGATGATCGATGCGTCTTGCCTTGAAAGCTGCCATTTCACACAACCAGCCCTAAACCTCCGTATCCCCGCAAGAATGTGAAAAGCCATGTTGCCGTTTTGTTTCGATCTGGAACTTCCCTTCCTGTCAGTGACCCCCCCTCGCGCGCTTTTCCAACCCGTACCCCGGGTAATTTGCGCACATGAACGGCCAGCTCATCGTGCACGCCCCGACAAGGTCGGAGGGGCTGCATGGCTTGCGGAAGGCCCTTAGGGACTTTCAGGTGGTAGGGCTACCGACCAACATAGATTTCTGCGAGCGCGTGGCGGGGCACCGGGGTTTCGAGGAGGGCGGCGTCACGACGGCGTTCTTGGAGGAGCATGGGGACGAGGTAGTCCCGCCCCCGGAAACGATGCCTCCTCCGCCGCACGCGGTGGTGCTGGCATCGGTGGCGGTCCTACTGGAAGAGGTTTGTAGGTAGAGATGGCACAAAACTCTTGGGTTTCATACCTACCTCGGTGGCTTGGTTGCGTGCACTTTGACGCATGCGCGTTTTGCGCCAGTCGTATTCCGCTTGGAAGCTCTCGAGTGGCCTGGTTGGTGCCCCCCCCAAATTAGGGTTTACCGCCAACGGCCGGGCGTATCGCGGTTGTGCGGCCCGTCTGCTTTTCCCTGCGCATTGATCCCCTTCTGTTTCTACCCCGCCGCGCAACTCCCATTGCGTGTAGGGCACCCATGACATCCACCCTCAACAAGCCGTGCCTAGTATACGGTAGTCAAGATAAAACGACGATTAAGCACGTCCAACGTGGCCGAAGGGCGTTCGTGGCAGGGATTGAGAAATCATTGCTTCTTCCACAGCCATTATGTTGTGGTTTAGCTTTGGGTCCTCAAGCTGCGAAACCCTCCCGGCCCCCCGACCACCCACCGGTTGCGCTGATTCGGCCAGCAAGCAGCCGTGACGTTTCCCAACGACACCAGCCCATGGTCTGCACGCAGCGGACCGTGGCGAGCCGTAGGCGTCCGCAAGCAGAAACTAGTCTTGTCTTCCCGTGAAACAGCGGCGGGTGCGAACGGGGCCGATGATGCTGGTTTAGAGGTCACTGTCGAGTGCCTGGCTGACGGTGGTTATGTGGTGGAAACCCATGGCGCGAGGTTTGCCGTGAGTGGGGCACAGCTGGATGCGGGGGGCGCGATGACCGCCATCGTTGACGGCAGGCGAGTCTTCAGAGAGTGCGTTTCCTGTGGTTATTGTTGTGGTGGTGATGGTTGTTGATGTGTTGTTGTTGCTACTGGTGCTTTTCATGTTGTTGTCGTGATGGATGGTTTCGAGCGCACCGTTTCGCAGTCCTTCATTACGATGGCACGCGGGGCACGAGGTACATGCAGTCATCCCGGCTCGAGACGCACCGCGGAGGTGACGCACGGTGCGCCGCTGACCCCTTATCGCGGTTTCGCATCTGAGAGACCCTTGCTCACTCCCCTCTCGACCGGCACGAGCACGATCTCTTTTTCGTTTTCCGCTTGATCGGTTGCTCACTCGTATTTCTTGTTCAGGCGGTATTCGTTGGATGCGACCGTGGAAGGTTGGGGCGCTGTCGGCGCCGAGGGGGAAGTTACGCTCTGGTGCAACCACGGGCCGCTGGAAGGAGACGGTCACGATCGACACAGGTGTGAGGTCGTTCTTGTTGGGGATGGCGTCACGCTGATCCAAAGACGGAGGTTGTCGCGTGTTTCCTACTCTAGTGGTGCATCGCAGACCTTCCCCCAGCACCAGCTTGTAGTGGTCGCGGCGAGGTTTCGTAGCAGTAGAAGGGGGCAGGGGAGATGAGCGCGTGCCGTGTTGCCTACCGCCAACCATTGACTCGAGGCTGTGTTTTTGGGATTGTGCCTCACGAGCGGAGTTCACCGAAGCGTGTAGAAGAACCTTCCGCCGAAAGAAACGAAACCAACCAGTTAGAAGACTTGCCACCCACGCGTTGATAAACCACAGGACGACAACGAACAGACTGACAGATGGACAAATGAGCGGTACGTATACGCGGGCATGTCAGGAATGTTGAGTATATACTGCGGGGCCAACCCTACAAGCGTGATTTCAACCAGCCAAGTCATTTTTTCTTTGGAACCAACGAATCAACAAACGAAGGTACGAGCTGGTCGTGACGAGACCAAGAGGTCGAGGGGCTCGGGGCTCTTCGAAGTCGGCCGCCGAGTCAACTGGGCGGGTGTCCTCGCCGATGCCGGGCCGAGTTGTGCGAGTCTTGGCGGAGTCGGGAGAGGATGTCGAGAAGGTGATTGTGATTAGGCGAGATCGCCGGACGTGCGGAAATTATGACAAAAAGGGCAGACTGACTAGTGGCATAACGCCGCTGCCAACCATTCATTGTTGTTGTTGTTGATGTCGTCTTCTGGTTGTTTATGTTGGTCGTGGGTGCAATTGGCCGCACATGTTTGTGCGGAAGGTCAATCACCTGGACAGAAGATGGAATTGACGTTCTTTTGTCCCTCAGATAACCCTCGTCCGAGATATATATTATCCAGATGAGATTCTTCTGTGGACAGATCGATATCAATCCCCGGTCCTTGACTCTGTACTACTCTTTTTCACCAAACGCGATACCGGGATTATGGCTTCATAGCAACACGAGAATCTGGACGTGTGCGTCGTCATCGATTTGTTTGTGCGGAATCCGACGCACCAGTCCTTAGAATTCAGTAGAGCAGGCCCGTGGCTGTGCCTCACTTCCACCCACCCTTGTCTTGGTATCGCTCAACAATCGTTTTCACGTTTACCGGCAGGGACAAGAGCTGATGATCCTCGAGGCCATGAAGATGGAGCACACGGTGCCAGCACCTTTTGCGGGCAAGGTGGACTTGGTTTCGTACGTGGCGGGCGACCTAGTCGACGAAGGCTCGGTACTAATCACCCTTAAACCCCTAACGAAGTAGAAAATCAGTGCTGTCAACTCCGCCGGCGGATTGGAGAGGGTGTTCTTTTTGAAACATCTTCATCTCCTTGTCAAGGGTGTACGGGGAGAGAGTGGGGAGGGGTGCGTGGCCCTCTTGTACATGCGAACTTTTGTGGTGTTCCTGAGATACAAGTATTTATCGCCAAGTCGGGAAGGGCAGTTAATTTTCAGATTTGGCGCCTTACCAGTTTGGAGCTCAGCAGTGTCTTATCGGTGATGAACGTTTAGCGAGGCAATGGTAGCTGCAAAGCAAGAGAGGCTTAGCGCAGCCCAATAAAGCAGAAGCGGTGCTGTGATTCTCAGCGACCTTCCCTTTCCTTTCGTCAATGCATACATCGTTTGCTTTGCTTCCGTTGGGGGGTAAAAGATCATGACGGCGGGTTCCCATATGCATGGCCAGTTTGTTTTTCAGAGGGTCTTCCGAACAGCGGTCAAGAGATAGAGACAACCACACAACTACTACAGCTGTAGCTGCCGTTCGCAGTGTAACACCACACAACCGTACGAAACACCGCTTGCACCGTCGGCGCCGTCGTGTCACTTCTTGAGCTACAAGTGGTGCTCGGCGAGCTTTACAAGTATTGCTTCTCCTGGTGCATGGCCATTTGTTTCCATTTGGGGGGGAATGGAAAGGAGAAAAAGAGCCGCCGGTGCCACAAGGCAAGCCACCGTTTGAACTGCAACCACGTGCATATTTTTCTGTCGTGTTATATATACTACACGTACATCTTCTGCCGCACATCGTGCTCGGCGTTCTTTCTGACGCTTGCGTGGAATATTCTGCCTGTGTGGATGCTGCCACACAACTTGTTTCCAGTTTAGACGTGACGTACTTGCACACAAAATACAAAATAATCGCCTGTTGTCGAGGGGGCGCACTTACGAAGCAGACTCCATGAGGCTGCTGCTTTGTCGCGTTTTGCTCCCTTGCACCCATTGCAACACTGCCGCTGACTGCAACAACAAGAACACGGTTGCAGCACATGTGCGTGTAATTGGTAAGCAACGTGTGTTACCTACCCGGCAGAGGTTTTTGCACGCATGCGAAGCTCTGGCTTCTCTCTATGTAGATATGGGCTGAAACCTGCCACTTCCTCCATCCAAGAGTCTTATGCATAGTCTACAAGTACAATATCACCGTCCTCCAAGGGAAAAACGAATTCAGCAAAAGTCAGCAGAATTCACATGAGTGTGGTTCACGGCCGACGGGTAATCATCGAGGCATGGAAGGAATATTTTGAGCTATTTCACAGCTCCACCACATCCCCAGTGTTGTACAGGTGCGTGGGTAGTGTCAACGTCAACGTATGTATCAACGGAGCTACTGAGCGACATGACACATGAAGCAGTTGAATCCCGCCGCACAACTTCCCGAAACGGCATGATGGATTTCACAAAACCTACGATGTACAGCAGTGGGTACCAACCCCCCTCTATTACGTGGCCGTGCAGCCATGTCCGCTGCAGCCTGCGCCGTTGAGCTTTGTATTGTTCAGTTCAATTACACGCCAAACCATGTCAAGGCGACAAAGGACTCAGAGGGGGTGCATCACCCTGCAGCCCCCACGCATGATGCCGGATGGGCTTGAGGTACGAGCATCAACATGGAGGTTGTTTGGGTTCAAAAGGTTGCACACAAGCAAGTCTGGTTCCAGCCAGGCCTCTTCGAAGTTTGTCAAGCGAGCGAGCAGGAGAGACTACAAGAGACTGCTGTGCTTTGGGTTGTGGTTTCGATCTCCCTTTCCTCTCTTCTTCTGCCCTCTTCGTCGCCTTCGTGGGCCGTGCTGACTGCTGCCCACAGGTGTCGCTGCACACGTGTCCTCGAGCCTTGCTGCGAGAGCTCGATCACGTGTTTCCCGGAGTAGACTTGGATGCTTGCCTGGCGATACCCACGAACCAGAAGGCGGGTATGGACCTGGTCGCGATGGGGGACACGGTCGAGACGGAGAAAGACGTGCTCCTCAACTCGGTGAGGCGAGGCTGGCGGATTTTCTGCTTGTCTTCGGGGGACAGATGGATTATGAACAAATATGAAAAAACGAACAAATGGTTGGCTCCCGTTTCGTACATGCAAGTTGAGACATGTAAACGCGCCGACGATGCATCTATACCGTCATACAATCTGTTCGATCACCATTCCTTGCACATGTCCAAAGCGATTTCCCGGGGATGGGTGCAAACATGGAGACCCAAGCACTGAGGTTTTCACGAAGGTGCACGTGGAGGCACCTAGCTCTCCGACTGAGAACAGGCGATCCCGGTCGGGGGAGAGCACCACACGCCAGCCGCAAGGGGTTGTAGCCAAGCGCTCAGGCCGGCCTACATTGCACGCTCCTGCAATGAAGGCCGTCCTGATCTCCTGACTCCAACTCCCCCCGCTGCATGCGCGTGGGGCCCTCCCGCGACAAGTGTCGCTGGTCGTCATATCGGAGAGTTTGTAGCCTCCGCCTGCACCTTTGTGGCGACAAGACCGGTGCGTGGGTGTCCATATCTCCATCCCCGAGAAATCGTGTTGAACAGACCGTTGACGAAAGCAACTCTACACCACAGCAGTAGGTGCAGCCCAGAGCCCAGATGTCGCAGGCCTTCGGCCACCCTCGCGCGTCCCGGGCAGTGGTTGAGCATGGTTGTCTTCCCGGCGATAATCGTGACATCCGGCACGCGAAATACCGAGTCGTAGGTCGTAGTGTGGTACGAGGTGGGGTCGTTTCGGAGGGGTTGTTTGTTTGGACTCTGTCCCCGCATTTGTGGAGCAAGTGACTACTTCCGAGATGACGTGAACATGGATTGGCTGTTTAGAAGCCGCGCTGCCGCGTGCTAGTTCAGAAGAGCTACCCCTGACAACAAGGCAACGGCAAGATCGAGTGTCCGAATACCAGTTCGTTGGCAGAGATCGAAGCAATGGTTGAATTCAGCAAGTGTGTGCGTGAGATGGGTCGAGCAGCAGCAGCAGTGTGGATCGGCCTGTAGTGAGTAGCAGCAAGCGAGAACAGCAGTTAGTCAACGACAGCTTTCCCTCGTCCATCATCTGTCTACATAAACCATCCCTCATGGCGATCCGTCCGAGGTCTAAAGCATCCATAAGAGGCAGGAACCTATGTAGTACAGGACCCTGCTATTAGTACCGAGCCAAATCGCTTTGCATCTCGATGACTGCTTGGGTCCCAAGCGAACTTGACATGCACGTATGCAATTGTCCTGTCGATGACGCCAATGTTAGTCTCAGATATCGAGATCGCTTCGGGCTCAAACAGCCATGAAATACAACGCGATTTGGCTCTGCATTTGCAGGGTTCTGTGCTAATAGTGTCTTGCCTCGTATGGTTGCTTTAGACCTCGGACGGATCGCGTTGAGGGATGGTTTATGTAGACAGATGATGGACGAGGGAAAGCTGTCGTTGACTAACTGCTGTTCTCGCTTGCTGCTGACTTCATTACAGGCCGATCAACACTGCTGCTGCTGCTCTACCCATCTCACGCACACACTTGCTAAATTCAACCACTGCTTCGATCTCTGCCAACCAACTGGTATTCGGACACTCAAGCTTCCCTTTGCCTTGTTTGCCAGGGATAGCCCTCTGTTGTGAGGTAGCGCGTGGCCAATCCATGTACACGACATATCGGCAATAGCCAATCGCGCCACAAAAGCGGAGACGAAGTCCAAACAACCCCTGAAACGACCTCACTTCGTACGACACCGTAGGCACCCCACGCTCTTGGAAGAACTACGAAATTTCCAGCACCCTCGAAGGGAGAAAGATGGCGCTCACAGCGCTTTGACTACAGCTGTATGGCGCTGTGACCACTCTCTGGTGGCCTGCAGTGACTCTGCATGTAGGCGGCGTTTTTTTGCCGGCATGATAGTCTGTGGGTGTTTTCTCGTCGCAGCCGCTGCAGAGCCAGAGATGTATGATACTGGCGAAACTAGGATTACCGAAGAAATAGATACAGCAGAGTGATGTGTTGGGCTACATACTGTTCATGCTTTTTTCTTTTTTCTTTGCTTTGTTGCTACGTGCCATTCGGAGTGCACATGAGTACTAGGTCCGTCATCTTTTGCGTATTCGAGATACCCCCACCCAACTTTGTTCCTAGTCGCGTGGAAAAATCCGGGGTGGACACCGGATGCAGACTTTGAGAGTACGCCCACAGCTAACGTGCAATTCTTTATAAATGGTCGAGTATCACTGCCTATTTCGAACGTTTCGAACAGCGGTTGTTCGTGATATTTGTGAAGAATCGGCGGCCGCTGTGATATCGTGTAGGGTGAAGGAAAATACTGCTGAACCCTTCTCCGTGGATAACGGTTCCGGCTGGCAATGCTACAGGAATAACGAGGAGCGTGCCGCCTAGGCGTCCCACCCGGAACAAAAATGCTAGCTTTTTTTTTAGGATTAGGAATGATGGATTAGGAAAAAAGGGTCACGTCTCGCCCTTCCCTTCCCCCCGATAGTCTTACCACCTTGACAGCCCACACGGCGGCATGCATCCGCTCTCGGCCCACAGCTGAACGGGTGCTTCCCCGACCCCGACCCCGACCCCCTTCCCCGGCTGCCGTAACGACGCCTCCTGCACGGCTACATGCACACGGCGTCAATTCGGCCTACCCGGATTATTGAACCGGTGTGAATCCGGGGTCGGGTTGGGTTGGAACAGTTCGCCAGCTTCGCGTCGGGCCTGTGCAAGCAGATCCGAGAGGCTGGGTATTGGGCGGACTACATCGACCCCTGCTCTGGGTTGCCGGTGGGTCGTAGGTTCACCGCCTTGCCGCGTGTGTCTATCGTTCGGCATCGTGTTGGGTTAGATGCGGCCAACTAGGCCTTCGCTAGACACGAAGCCGCCCTCGTTGCTTTTATTGCAAACCCCCATGCTTACAACCAACGCCTCCCAGAGGGCACCCAATGCTGCCCCCTGTTAAGGCAAGGCAGCCGGTCGGTCCGTTTCGGTTTATAACTGTTATCCCTTGACCACCTGGTCTGGGCAGCGGGAAGCAACTGAGAGGAAAAGGTGAAAGACAGAGGGAGAGGTATTATAGGCTCCACGAATTTTTGTCTAAACTCCTACGCCCCTCTGCATGCTCTAGAGTTTCCCATCGCGTAGGAGAGCTCTGGATACTGCTGCGTTTTCGTAAGGTGGTTATTTCGCTGCGAGATTTGGGAATCCGTGCATGATTTCAAGCTACCCCACAGGCCCGCCGCCGCCCGGTCTGCTTTTGGTGGCGCATGAGCTCACACACACCGCACCGCAGTAGAGTCACATAGAGTCAAAGGAAGGTGGTTTGCCGCTGGGACCATGGTCCTTCGCTCACAAGCCGGCGGCGCTGCAGGGGCGGGAGCCGATGGGTTAACTCCTTGCCATGTCGGGGGGGATTTTATCACCCCACCTATTCGCGGTGGCCAACACAGCTGCAAAGCGTGCGGCGTGCTGATCCACAACCTGTGCTTGCAGCATCTCCTCGGCACGGAGGATAAGACTGACGGAGGAGCTACTGTAGCTGTGGTGGCCTCTCGTGCATAAAGATAAAGATCGTCACCGAGGAGGACAGGAAAAGAAAGCACGACGAACCTGGAAGGCCTCCACTCGACGCTCGACGCAGAGCCCCCCCGAGCTATGCGTTGACGGGCGGTGCGAGCGTGCCCCCACCGCAGGTTTAGGTCCAGCTCCGCCGTGGTTTCCCTCTCGACGCGCATACGTGCTTCAGGGCCACCGGTGAGGAAGAACTCCGTCCTCCCGGAAGGCGTTGCAGAGACGACGCCGACGCCGCTAGAACGAGGTGCGGATCGCGAGGGCGAGCAGTGACTTCCGCGACAACCGGAACACCGGAACGCGGTTGGTTGTCGCGGAAGTCACTGCTCGCCCTCGCGATCCGCACCTCGTTCTAGCGGCGTCGGCGTCGGCGTCGTCTCTGCAACGCCTTCCGTGAGGACGGAGTTCTTCCTCACCGGTGGCCCTGAAGCACGTATGCGCGTCGAGAGGGAAACCACGGCGGAGCTGGACCTAAACCTGCGGTGGGGGCACGCTCGCACCGCCCGTCAACGCATAGCTCGGGGGGGCTCTGCGTCGAGCGTCGAGTGGAGGCCTTCCAGGTTCGTCGTGCTTTCTTTTCCTGTCCTCCTCGGTGACGATCTTTATCTTTATGCACGAGAGGCCACCACAGCTACAGTAGCTCCTCCGTCAGTCTTACCCTCCGTGCCGAGGAGATGCTGCAAGCACAGGTTGTGGATCAGCACGCCGCACGCTTTGCAGCTGTGTTGGCCACCGCGAATAGGTGGGGTGATAAAATCCCCCCCGACATGGCAAGGAGTTAACCCATCGGCTCCCGCCCCTGCAGCGCCGCCGGCTTGTGAGCGAAGGACTATGGTCCCAGCGGCAAACCACCTTCCTTTGACTCTATGTGACTCTACTGCGGTGCGGTGTGTGTGAGCTCATGCGCCACCAAAAGCAGACCGGGCGGCGGCGGGCCTGTGGGGTAGCTTGAAATCATGCACGGATTCCCAAATCTCGCAGCGAAATAACCACCTTACGAAAACGCAGCAGTATCCAGAGCTCTCCTACGCGATGGGAAACTCTAGAGCATGCAGAGGGGCGTAGGAGTGTTCTGCGGCATTATTCCGGCATTGTCGTTGCTCGGTGAGTGGTGTCACGGCCTCCGCAGCTGCCACGCCAGCGGCTTCAACTTGTGACAAACCCTTCCCAATTCGTCTTGGTCAAAGACTGCTCAGAACAGCGTCACCCCCCGCCCACACACACAGGCGATTTAGCGAACTGCGGGGGTGCATTGCATGAAAGCCTATTCGTTTTCGTCCGTTTGGTGGAATTCTAAAGTTGATGACCTGCTTTTCGTTGTGCTTTTCCTTTGCCGTGCGCATACGTTTCACGAGCACTAACCGCGCGATGATGGACCTGGAATGGTACTTGTATACATCGTGGACGTTTCCGTTCCTGCCTGCTATTGCACCGCCGTGTACCGAGTTAGTTCACTAGGAGGAGACGGAACCCCGCGAGACGCCCCCCCCCTCGCCCCCCTCCCCCCCTCCTCTTTCTTGGCGTTCCTACTCTGTGTCGTTCAATATTTTCTTTTTTGACCCCAACGAAACTTGGTGCCTATTTCTTGACGCGGGCATGCGCGCGCTCGCACGCGCCGTAATGCCACCCGACGGCATGTCTTCGAAAACCGATCCACCAGATGCTCAGCGGTGGCACCAAGGTTTACAGCGAGGTCGAAGGCATGCAGCTACTCTTGCAGTACCAGGTGGGCACAAGGGTCGAGTCAACCCCCCCCCCGCCCCCCCTCGCCGCCCCCTTTTAGTAGGAGATGCAGAGGCGGGCATTTGTTTTTGGTTGGCGTGGCGTTCATTGTTGTTCTTCTTGCGCGTGGGAAGTCCAGGGGGTAGCGAACATTGAGCGGCGGGGCGCGCTTGAACCACGCACCTCTGGTTTGTTCGACTTCGACGAGACAGGGAATCTTGACAGGAAGTGCGCTACATACCTGCAGTTCGGAGTGGTCTTTGATGACAAAAACAACTCGAAAGAGGAGCACCGGCCTATGAACAGGAAAAATACCCTTACACGCCAAAGCTGATTACAACCAACATGTCCTTCCGATCTGCACGCAGGTGATGAACGCGGGCAACTGCAAGGTCTTGCTTCACCCCCAGTGGGGCTCCGCCGTTTACCCGGCGAGTTTGTTCTGTACGGCCCCGTCTGACTTTGTGCAGCGCCTGCTGGAGGAGAGACTGGTCCCGCGACCAGCACCGGTGCCTGCATGAGAGATAGGATGAGGGAGGGATGTTTATGACGCAGGAGATGTTGGGGCGCATACCGAAAAGCGGTTCACCACAGCCGGCAGCAGAAGGGCGCCCTCTGGAAGGGGGAGGGGGGGGAGGGTTACACTCATGTAAACGCATGCCAGAGTCGTCCCGCCGCTGACCTCGCCTCCCTACAAGGCCGGGACAGAGCGGTATTCCGGCGGGGAGGAGGGGGGGGGGAGGCATCAAGGGCAATTTGCCGCAGCGAAGCCGTGTCGACAGCACCGGCGGCGGGACTTTTACGGTTGTGAAAGGTCGATGGTGGGTTCACGCGGATGGGAATGGATGGGCACAAGGGGAGGGCTGCTGCGGCGGGTGAAACTGATTGCTTCGCGGCAAGCTAAATTGTCGGCTTCCGACCCGATGATATCGATCCCCCCACCTGCCTTTCACCGCAGAGTCGTTCACTTGCGTTTTGTTCACGGTGAGGTAAGCCATGGCACGGCGGTTGCACGACGCGGAAGTCGGCTGGGGTGTGCCCGAGATGACCGTTGATGGAGTGTAGACGGGCATGGCTTACCGCGGTGAAGCCTCCCCGCGCAGTCAATTGTAAGTTTTTGTTCCAGGGAGGCAACTAATTTGACATGAAATGGACATTTTGCCTGCTCGTCTTGAACGGTCGCTGTGCAAATGCATCGAGGGGCTCGAGCGACAGCCTGCAGCCTTGCCCTCATTTCGGTTGTTTTTTGCCTTTTTTTTTTTTTTCGAAGTCGTCAATAAAACGGTGGGGTGTTGTTCATTTCGGGTAGCGGAGGTCGACAAGTAATGGGTTCAGCTGTATGTATACAGCTTATCTACCGGTACAACCGCCAGGGAGTGTCAAGGGTTATTAAAGTCAACACCATTAGTTAGAGCACATTTGGACCCTTTTTTTGTTGCCGTTGTGCGGTGGTTGCTGTGAGTGTTTTTTTTTACCCAGGCGTGTTCCGCCGGCAGCGAGGGCAGCAGCAGCAGCGGCAGGAGCGGTACAAATAGCGTGCGGGGTTGGCGCGTGTGGTGGCTGGGGGCGTGTGCATACCGGTGCCTTTTTTTTGCGTTGCGTGTTTTTGTTTTTGAGTGTTTCAGTAGCCTTGGCATATGCCGTCCCTTATGCAAGTCGTCGAGGTCGGCGGCCGGGGCGCGAGCGCTCCTCTTGTTGCAGATGGCGCGAAGCCGGGTTTTCCTCTGCCGAGCGAGGTCTTACGAATTGCTCAAGCAGAGGCTGACGAATTGCGTCAGGAGAGACAACAACCTCTTTGTTTTACGCCCTGTTGGTCTTGGGGAAAACGCGCTATGTCTGGACGGGTCGGTATGTTGTGGGGTTCATGTGCTTTAGCGCTCTGACGGACCAAGAGAAAGCCTATTTGTTGGGTCCTTTCGGGAAACGCCCCCCCTTCTCCTTCCCACGGGAAGCGAATTCTGAGAAGAACAGGTGTGATTAGATTACTCATCGAACATCGGGCGTTCGCTTGCGGTAGTGTATGACAGGTAGCGGCGAATCCGGCGAGGGGGGCTTGTGACGAACATATTGTCATGCGTGATGTTGTTTTGTCTGTTGTATATGGAGACCACCGGCCATTTGCGCCCACTATGGTACGTGTAGGGACCGCGGGCCACGAGCCGGGAAGGCACATGTGGTTTTTTCCTTCCGTGCGGGTTTTCGGGAGCAACAAAAGATGCTTGGATGGAAAATTCCTCAATATTTACAGCAACCCTTGTTCTCCATGCGCTCTTGCATTTCACGCTCTCGCGTCGTACAGCCGAAAAAACATGCAAACGGCGGGGACTTGTACGGTACGGGGTGGTGCCTCCCTCCGGCCTAGGATGGACTTGACCGTTTCCGTCGACGTACGGCACACAGAAAGGGTAGGGTACTGTGTAGCCGTATGATGATGTTAAGTCGAATTTTCTGTGACGGTGGCCGGCGCTGTCGATACAACTCGCTCCATGGATGCTCAATTTGAAGGCCATGCGATCCCTCGCCACCCACGACACACGCAGCGGTGCGTGTCCGTGTTTCATCCCGAGCGGACGGTGTGCCGCCTCTCGTCACCCGTAACTTTAGCTGCCCTGGGGAGAACATTGACAAGGCGCCTTCCGAGTCTGACTGGGGGCTAACCCTGGCTTGCTGTTTTCTGCATCAGTGGAGATTGATTTGTCATTGGTGTACATGTCCCCCGTACGCCTCAGCCTGCCCGGAGCCTGCTTCGGCTCGCGGCTCGACTTCATGCAACAACTTGGCAGCATCACCGACAAACCATCTGCACACAGTTTCCTTACACACAAGGATGAAGACCGCATCCTACTCAAACCCTTATCCAGCGCCCAATGCCCCCCCCCCTCTCCAGCTAATTCCTCGCAGACTTCAACAAGTCGTGTGTCTCGAGCCCCACGCTGGAGTCAAGGAATGCAGTAAACTTCTTTCCCGATCATTGTACTGCGAGTCCGTTTTTAACCATCGTGGAAAGTTGACTCCTGCACGAGGCGTGATGCATGCCCACGATGCAACTCAAAACAAACGCCGGAGAGCTATCTAGCTATGCACGCACCTGCCTGCCAAGCAACTTCCGAACGCGCCGCCTTGTGTTCGTACGTGAAAAGTCAACGATACGAACGACGTCGCCGGGTCTGACCACGTCAAAGGTTGCAGAGGTGCGGAAAGAGAAAAAAAAAAATGACTCGTGCTCACGGTCATCACTCCGGATCACTATTGCTACTGTGTTGCAGAACAGCACACACGAATATCCGCTACAAGAACTCCCGTTTGGGTCGTCTTGAAACACTACGCCCGCCCCCCACGTAAGCTTGAAGGTGATATTTTCGGAGCGCTGCGTCTGTGTACTAACGTTTGCTGCTGCTGCTGCGGGCTTCCAGCCGTTTACCCTGGTCCAACACACCATAGTGCTGTCGCGCTAGGCTGTACACCAGCACGCCACCGACGGCGATCGCAGACCCTACCATGCCCAGCCTGGAGATGGGGGTCTTGAACACTATCAGGCTGGCCACCACGATGAAAACTCGCTTCATGGTGTTGCCCACGGCGAGGGTGGTCGGGTGCACAGAGCCCAGCGCAAGGTACATCACCTTTCAGATGGCGCAGATGACGTTTTGGGCAAGAGGAGGGAGGGGAAGGGGTGAAGAACACTGTCCAGCGCACGCACACGTGCAACGTGCGGTGCGGTGCGAAAAAAGAAAGGATGTATCGGTGTTGACACAAGCTCGAGTGTTGGTCCCGCCTGTAACTCTCAACAGCAGCGGAGACCCACCACTTCGTCTTCCAAAGACAAGAGCCTGGTTCAGAAGGGAGAACCCAACCATCACCACCACTAAAAATGCGGGGCGTGCGCGGCTCTCATCGAAAGAGCACCTTAACGTGCCGGCGGAGCATATGGGGTGCTACTGTCAGACATGGGGGATGCGAAAGCGTGTTTGGAGGATCAATAAACGCTTTTCGACCGTGAAAGGATGTGCCGGCGGAGCATATGGGGTGCTACTTGTAGTTCGTCGGACATGGGGGATGCGAAAGCGTGTTTGGAGGATCAATAAACGCTTTTCGACCGTGAAAGGATGTGCCGGCGGAGCATATGGGGTGCTACTTGTAGTTCGTCGGACATGGGGGATGCGAAAGCGTGTTTGGAGGATCAATAAACGCTTTTCGACCGTGAAAGGATGTGCCGGCGGAGCATATGGGGTGCTACTTGTAGTTCGTCGGACATGGGGGATGCGAAAGCGTGTTTGGAGGATCAATAAACGCTTTTCGACCGTGAAAGGATAAAGATCCAAATGCCGAGAGAGCGTGGGCGTGGCCTCGGGGTTCCTCCCTGCTCCAGTGACACAAGACCCCCACAAGATGGCCCAAAAGCTTCACGCTATAACGGTCGCGATCGTCTGCACCCCAGGCCAAAGAATATGGAGGAAAGCCTAAGACGAGGACATATGACATGGAGGGTGCAACGCAACGGGTTGCTTGCGCTACCGTAGCTACTCGTCCGCTTGTACTTCCCCTACCGACCGAGTGCGGTAGGCTGCCATGAGCCGCCACGCACCCCTTCCGCCCACCCACCCCCGCATCCCGCCCCAGGAAAGCAAAAATAAAGCCAACGTATTGCGAGACCCGTCAGACAGCCACGGTCAGTGATGCCTTTCAAGTCGAAGCACGTATTGGTTCGGCATCGAAAAGAGAACCCCAGCACTCACCTCGTTGTTAAGGTAGTGAGAAACCCCCGACAGCAACACGCTCAACACGAGCGCCTTCGCCTGGTGGCCGTTCTCCATGGCCGACTCCCACGCCGGCCCCCACTTGCTCCAGCCCGTCAGCGCGGCGAACGGGGCGAAGACCACGAAGGACACGATCGTCACGAGCCCGTAGAGGTTAGCGGAAGAGGTGGAGGCGCCGTCCTCGAAGGGGGGTCGCGTCATGAGAGCCTTGGAGAAGTTGGCCCTGCAGGCGAAGAGGAGGTTGGACGCCATCGCCGCGAGGAAGCTCACCCAGCTGAAGTTGATCTCTGGGAGAGGGAGAGGGTTGGTCCAGCGGGAGGTCGCCGTGGTTGAGTGTGTATTGTTGGATTAGAACTGGCTGACCAATGAAAAGACGTCAGTTACATGGTGGCGGGGCAAAAAACGCGAACACGCTTTTCCAATCAAAGGGTGTGCGTGTATGTTGAAAGGGCGAAGTGCTGCTGCTGCTTTATCACGGTATGTTGTCGAATGGTGGAATGGTGGACGGATGGGGGACCAGAGAGTGGTCTCGATTAGGGTCGACGCAGATGAGAACGAGTACGAAACCAATGGATACCCGCAAACGTAGGATACAGGGCGCATCTTTTAGTGCTGGCGCGCTCAAACAGCGCGGAGCAGCAATATGAGCTGAAGATCTCAAGCTGCTGCAAATGAGACACGGTAAGGCCTCAAGATTGGTTATTTTCAGGACGAACAAGTACAGTCGACCCCGCTTTAAGGAAACCAAAATTAAGGAAACTCCCCGGATAAAGGCAACAATTTTTCGCCGAAACACAATACCCCGCAGAATGTAAAATATACGGGGGGGTCCATATTCTAGCCCGCGGACCCCCCTTAAGCACGCTTATAGCGTACCCTCTTCGCCAGCAGAGAGGTCTGCTGATTCACCTGCTGTCTGCGGTATGCAAAGATTCGTTTCACCTACCGGTGCGTCCTTTGCAGCTCGGTTAAAACGGTGTGGGGAACCCACGTGCACGATCACGAAGCTCGTGTCGGGTATCCACACATGCCCGTGCGGTCGATGGATGCACGCGTTTTGTGGTCGCGGCATCGGGAAGGAAGGCTACGGACAGCAGAGGGAGCGCACGGAATGTCAGAAGTCGTAGCGTTGAGTGTTTGCGGTTTGTCGGCCATACGCCGTATTGTGTGCTTGTGTCTGAATGGCGCTCCAGTAGAGAGTAACGCAGGAGAGTTTCTGCGTGCGCTCCCCCAGGGGTAAACAAGAGTCACCAGGTGAATTTGAAGTGTCCATCAGGTATTTTCCGTGCTGTGTGGTGGTGCTCAGCAATAGACAATTATTTTCTCGCCGACTCCCAGTCTCTTTGTTTATTCCAACAATGCCCTGCCCAGGGCGCACCTTTTGACGTATGTACCGCCACCATTGACCCCGGGGATGGTGCGTTCTGATCCCCTGAAGTTTAAGGAAACTTCCCCGCGTTAAGGAAATATTTGTCGAAGCAAAACCATTTGTTTCCTTAATGCGGGGTCGACTGTATCCGTGGTTGTTAGCCCAATGATAGATTCCATTCCAGTCGCATATAGCCGACGTTCCGAAGAACAGGTGATTCGCGTCGACAAAGCTCCGCCAAACGCACGTCCACTTGCTAACAGCACCAAGCGTACGAAGTGCACCTCACACAACGCACACGGTCACTGGATCACCAGCAAAGGATCATGTGCACTACGCTGGCGGATCGAGCGGCCCAGCTTCAGGTTTAGTTTCAGGCCCAGTTAACCTTGCGTGAACAATTCATCGGGTCATCGGGATATTTTACAAACGAGCCAAGCGGGGGAAACCCATCGCCGCCGAACTGTTCACATTCGATACAGAGAGTAGAGCAACCTTCCGTCATTGCCCCCTCGTCGAGATTCACCTGCTCCGGCGTAACAGCCGGTTCTGCGTATCGATATGCAGACTACTGCATTTGAGAGTTACAGGTACATGCTGTAGTCTACGGCTTGGTCCGCAGATCTGCTGTTGTTCATGAAACTTGAGTCTAATCTTTCTCCCACATAGAAGTGATAAATAGTTGACGCCATCTCTCTCTCCCACCTTTCGCACACGCGAGCGACACTCCCGCGACGACTGGCAGCAGGGACGCGTACACCTGCCACCGGAAGATATGCCGGAACCAGACCGCCGCCACCAGCGCCGAGAAGAACGGCTCCATCGCCTTCACCACGTGGGTGAAGCTGACCGCCCCTGCCCCTAGGCTAAGCACCGTCGCCAGCTGGCCGCCCCCATGGAAGAAGGCCACCGGCGTCAGGCGGGCGGCGCCCGTGGCGGCGAGCTTTCCCGGCGGCGTTCTCGCCCGGACAAGCCACTGGGTCCCCACCCACAGGCTCCCGATCCCGAGCTGCAGGACGGCTATCGAGGAGGGCAGCGGCAGCGCGTTGAGGACCTTCTTATTGACGATGTTGTACCAGACGTTGAGGGCGTACCACAGGCCGAAGTATCCCAGAACACGGGCCCTGTCCTTGAGGCTGCTGCCGGCCTCTGCTGTTAACGATGATTGCGTTGCCGGCTCTGCACCGTCCCCACCCCTAAGCAAACCAGCAGCGCTGCTGCTGTCGCCGCCGCTGTCGCTGCTGTTGTTTATTCTCCTGCTGCTGGGGGCTAGTTTTGATCGTGCGGTGCTCGGCAACAGCAGTTCATGTTGCCCGGCTTGCCTACCACGTCTTGCATCCAACGCTACAGTGTGGGACAAGCCAGGCGAGATCAGCAGAGACACTACCAGCAGCAGAGGTGGTGCCCCACGCATGACGCTAAACACGAGCTGCCAATGTGTGATAACAGCACGTTCGCTGTTGCCTCTCCATCTCCCTCCCCTCCGTTCTGATTGCGCCGCATTTTCTTGAAACCGCCAACAGTTTTGCAGTACGACCGACCACGGATGATACCCGTCAACATCAGCAGTACATTTGCATGCTCAATTGCTCCCTACATGCAGCAGGCAGCAACTGCAATGATGTTGTGTTCGTCTTGTGGAGAGGGGTGGTAAGCTCCGCTTCGTCTCTCAACTACTTGAAGTGCAACGTGCAACGTGCTACAGTAATAGCACAACCACGTTCGCGTTCGTCGTCGCTCGCCGACTTCGCTCTGATGCCCGCTCGGCAATAATTTCGTGTGCCCATTGTGTCTGATACAGAACAGCGTTTATGCACTGGAAGACTCTCTAATTTTGCCCCCGAGGCTCGGTTTTATTTTCTCTGTTCTCATGGGACCCGTCAAGTTCTTGCAGTACAAGTTGGTTGGCCATGCGTGCAGCGACTCCCCGTCAAACTATAATAGCACTAGAGGCGCCGGGGCCCAGTGGTTCAGTGCGCGTACAAAGCAAGAGGACCAATGAGGTGTGGCACGTCCAACACGGCGAGCGATGTGACGAAGTACGGGGGAGAGGAGCAGCAGGCCTGGGAAAGGTCACCCAGATGCAAGGCAAGCGGGTGGTTTGATCCATTCCTCACCAGAGACGGTCATCTGCAGGTGTGTAGAGCCGGAGAGCATCTGAAAGGCCTGCCGTTCAACCGGCAGCAGAAGCAACCGGGGAGCTTCGACATTGTGTACACATTGTTGAGAAGCACAATGACCACTAGACTACTAGTCAGCTTGCCCGTGTCCGGTGAAGCTGTTAAGCCACGAACACATCCCCCCAGGGTTGCCATCCCTGTAATCAGCGCTGTGCTTGCCAGATCGAATACAAGCAGGTCATCGGCTCATTCCCAGTTCCTTAGGCTTATGTTATTGCCATACGACGGGCGCAAAGGATTTTTTTTTGGTAGAAACACAGAGTGATTTATTATCCACACACAGGCGCCCAAGCTTCTTCACCTGACGGTTACAGACTTGGAAACACGCCTTCACAATGCCGGGGATAAAACCCACACAGCAGAATAGAGTCGTTCATGTACAACACAAATACCCCCATGTGTCCTCTCAACAACTACGGCATCCTCGTTCTGATACACAAGACAACTTCTCTCTCGAGATGTCCTCTCAAAACATCGTCAATGTCCTCTCGAATCGACAATCTTCACGAGTGCTTGCATACATACAACATCAAATTTTTTTCTAGCTGCCATACATTTCCTTCAAGCAGCGAATTCTTGTCCTCCTACACACAGCCCCTGAGCTTCGTTTCCAACAGAAACTAATCTCCTAGGAGTTCTTGATGAACTTCACAGCGCCCAAACTCTTGGTAATCATGTGAGCTTTCTGCATTGCTGACTCGATCTTCTCGACCTTTACGACTCCATCCTGGATCAGCGACCTGATGTAATGATACTTGATATCAATATGCTTGGTCCTGGGCGTGATCTTGGAGCTAAGGCTAGTCACTATAGCCCCGGAGTTATCCTCGTAAAGCACCGCNCTCGATCTTCTCGACCTTTACGACTCCATCCTGGATCAGCGACCTGATGTAATGATACTTGATATCAATATGCTTGGTCCTGGGCGTGATCTTGGAGCTAAGGCTAGTCACTATAGCCCCGGAGTTATCCTCGTAAAGCACCGCTGCCTCCTTCTGGGCACGGTTTATAGTCTTCAGTAGGTGCCGGAAGGGGATGATGAGCTGGTAAGCCTTGGACAACGCCACGTACTCCGCCTCCACCGATGAGACGGCCACCAGCGGTTGTTTAGTCGCCCTCCAGTCCACCGGTCCACCGGCTGGGAATAGAACGATCCCCGTAGTCGACTTCCGGTCGTCTAGGTCACCTTCGAAGTCCGAGTCAGCATACGCCGTTAGTTTGTAGCTCCATCCTCGGCATCCTCGCTGTACGTGATTCCGATGGAGGTGGTCCCCTTTAGGCACCGAAGCAGCCGCTTCAGGTTGGCCATCGCCTTCGGTCCCGGTTTCACCATGCTCCTGGTAAGCACCAATACTGAGTGTGCAATGTCCGGCGTCGTTCCCCTGCAACGGTAAGGAACCGAACCCGTAGCCGACCGGAAGTTCTTGGTGTCCTCTGGCGACAGCACTTCATCCTCCGCCGTAGTGATCGGCCCAACCTCAGCCAGCGTCTTCGTCGGGTGCGCGTCAATCATGTTGAACTTAGCCAGTACGGCCTTGGTGTAAGCCTCTCTGCACAAAGCCAAGCTCCAGCAGAAAGACATGAAAAGTACCGTTCCATCCCTTCGGGGAGAGGCGCAGCCCTTGAGAAGCCAGACTTGTTTAGCTTGACCCGGCGAACACGGGATTCCCTTCGGGNCTGGCGACAGCACTTCATCCTCCGCCGTAGTGATCGGCCCAACCTCAGCCAGCGTCTTCGTCGGGTGCGCGTCAATCATGTTGAACTTAGCCAGTACGGCCTTGGTGTAAGCCTCTCTGCACAAAGCCAAGCTCCAGCAGAAAGACATGAAAAGTACCGTTCCATCCCTTCGGGGAGAGGCGCAGCCCTTGAGAAGCCAGACTTGTTTAGCTTGACCCGGCGAACACGGGATTCCCTTCGGGGGTATGATGTATGTAGGCTCCGCCTCCTCGGGGATTCTGGCATGTAGAAATACCGTCTTGATATCCGCTTGCTTCAGGACGAGATGGTTGTGGGCAGCAACTGGTAACACCATGTGTGCGGATTCCATGGACGCCACCGGCGGCGCCTTGTCGGCCCCCGTATCAGTTTCGTAAAAGCCTTGTACCACCACACGAGTTTTCGCGCGAACCGCCACGCCGTCCTGATTGTGCTTCCATACGAAATGGAACCTAGACGGGATCGGTTTAGCGTTCTTCGGCGGATCCAACCAGTCGAACACGTCATGTTTGTATAGCGACTNGGGTATGATGTATGTAGGCTCCGCCTCCTCGGGGATTCTGGCATGTAGAAATACCGTCTTGATATCCGCTTGCTTCAGGACGAGATGGTTGTGGGCAGCAACTGGTAACACCATGTGTGCGGATTCCATGGACGCCACCGGCGGCGCCTTGTCGGCCCCCGTATCAGTTTCGTAAAAGCCTTGTACCACCACACGAGTTTTCGCGCGAACCGCCACGCCGTCCTGATTGTGCTTCCATACGAAATGGAACCTAGACGGGATCGGTTTAGCGTTCTTCGGCGGATCCAACCAGTCGAACACGTCATGTTTGTATAGCGACTTTCTCTCGTCGCTGACGCTTTCTTTCCAGAGTGCTCCCTCCGTGCCGTTGACCGCTGCGTCATAGCTTGCGGGATCAGCAGGCCTGTAGCCCGCCTCACCGGGGCGACCAGTCCCGCTGTTTCCGAGCACACTACCTGTCAACAGGGCATGCTCGGTCCGCCCGTACGCCTCCTCCATCGTATGCAGATTCATCCTCTCCGGTGCGTTGGAGACCCTGCCGCTCCGACGTTGGTTCTAATCCTCCATTTGGGGTCCCGACGGCGTTGGCGGTACCTCTTCTTCTTCTGTTTTCTTTTCTTCTTCCTTAGTGTCCACCGTGTCCTTGCTTCCGAATTCCAAATTTTATCGTGCCTTTCTTAATTGCATTTGAGGTACCACACGACCCGATGATACGCACGGCGCAGCCCATCGGATCACGAGCATGTTTGGACAGGCGGGACTCGGTGCATATCATGTGGCTAGAAGCGGCAGAATCGATGTTTACAGTCGTGTCTCCAACAGCCGAGGGAATCACCTGTTCCACTTGAAACACGTTGGTGTACGCGACATACTCTGTTCCATCAGACGCCTCCTCATCCTGAAGGTGAGTCGTTGCCACAAGCGCCGCCTGCATCGGCATATCACCAGCGGCGAGCTCATCACGCAGCACCGCAGCAGGAACATCCTGTACCTGCACAACCCCAGCTGCGCGCTCCTGTAGCTGCGCCGCACCAGGCACCTCCTGCGCCTGCGGGTTGTTGGCGGCGCGCGTCCGCTTTGTCTACAGTATATTAGTCAACTTTGACATCACGAACACGTTTGGGTCTTGCTCTACACCAAATGGCCCAATCAATGGGTGGGCACTGTGGTACTGATTACACCCACCGTCGGTGTCGCGCGTGCCCTCATCAGGCCACAAGGAGGGCACAAAGGAGATGGCAAGGAAGAACGTACCCACTCCACACTGCTGCATCGGCATTTTCAAGGTTAAGGCAGCGGAGGAGAACTGGTACCAGTACGAGCTGCACGACTTGCTAACGAACACAGGAGAGTCACTCAAATCCAGCGGGGAATCGGTTACGTAAGGCCGAAAGTGGCCACGTTGGAAGAGGAAAACCGTCCGAGGTATGACGACGAGGACGGTGATGGCGAGGTAGAACCCCTGGCCGCAAGCATAGGTGCCCTGAGTGACAACATGAAGGGCCCGAAGACATGTCCACCAGGAACAGGTAGGCAACCCACAGCAGGGAGTAGCACTGCACGCGGTCTGCAAGCAGAGCGAGGCGCAAGGGCGTCGATTACAAGACACAAGAAGAAAAACTACGGGCTCTAGCTTCCCCGTCGTAAAAACGACAACGGTGCGCAGGAAGACCCTGCAGTGTTTCGTTCACCACAAGTTTTCCGTCTCTGTGCAAGCAATGTTGTTAACTCGCCTTACCACGACCAGTCCCGGACGTTTCGACACGAAAGCCTCCACGTCGAGCATCAAGCAAGTCGAACGGGGCTAACACCACGGCGAGCTCAGGGTATCGGCCCCCAGAAAGTCTCGTCTGCCGCGACAAAGAAGGACGATCTTGTTACCAGCGGTCGTGCTTCTGCGGGCGGTGCTTGGAGAATGTTGCGCCACGAGGGGATTCCCTTTCTTGTGTGTTTCGAGTCTAAGGGGGAGGGCAGTGCTGATAACACAAACGACGACGGCCTTGTATGTTGTTGACCTGGGGCGAAGAAAGTTGAAACAGCTTGTGGGATGTTGTTTTCTTGGTGTCGTCAGGGTCAGGGGGTGGGGCAGCAGGTGGAACGGGTCGGCAACGCTTGAAGTATTCTTGGGTTTGAGGAGCGACCCTGAAGAGAGAGTATTGATCTCTGGGTTGGTGGTTGTTCGCAACATGACGGCCACCTACAGTGCTGCTCAAAAGTAAACCAATCTCCCTTCGCTCTTCAACCCACCGTACGTGCTTGCTGGGCCTTCAAATTCCAAACGGAGTATGTTTCGGAGTATATTTTGTCGCCAAAATCTTCTCTTATCCAGCTTTGGCTATGTACATAGTTCGAACGGTGATGGTTTATACTCACCGGCACCATCAACGTCAATATGCATCTACACCGCCCGATGGGCTTCGTGATGTCGATCGTTGTCCAGGGGTACACGATGCCGCTCTCGGAGAAACACGCGAGGCTGCAGACTCGGAAATGGAACCTGGAGGCCAGGGTGGCCATGGGCACGATGCTCAACAACAAGGCGGCCAGCGGGAGGAGCTTCCCCTGGGCGTGTCAGCAGTGTGAGGTGAGGTACATTAACGTGGTGGTGACGAGATCGGTGTCCTACTTGACCGAGCTGTTGGTCTAGGGCGCTGCGGTACGGCATGGTGCTCGCAAGTATTATTGTCGACAACGTGTTTCACACGTCACCGTCGATTTGCTACCTATTCCAGCCGGTGCTCTAGATATCGTTGGTATTGTGCTGGTATGGTCGGCACAACGTAAAACACGAACCACCAGGCAAGCGTGCACCCCACGGTATAGGAAAATACGTGAGACTTCATCGTTTCCCACTCTGGTTGGTTGAATCGTGTGTGCCGCTGTGTTCGACAGGAATTCCATTAGTCTATGTCTTCTTGTCTACTATCAGTGGTCCTCCAAGTTCGTCTTTTACCTCTGTCGAACGTTTCGCCCGATGTAAACAGTGCGATTGTTCTTGAACACATTTTCCAACAAAGCTGCTGGGCTCTGCTGATATTTTATCCACCTCACCCGGCCGGCGTTTCCAGTACACAAGGCCAAAGGATGTACGGTTAGGCTACAACAAGAGAACAAAGGTGTCGCTATCTTATTCCCCCCGTCACCACCTTCATTACGACGCGCGGAATGCACAGCAAACCTTCCCACTCTATGCTGCCCGCATAACCCCCCCCCCCCCGCCCCTATATTCTGTCCCAGGACGAAAACATAGCCCCGGAAGTCCAGAGAGCAGCGACGCGCAGGGTGCTGCCGAGGTGGCCAGCACCCGAAGCTCTGGTAACCCGGTAGCTTCGAAGGGAAGTTGGTTAGGGCAGATTACCGCCCAGGAGCAAGAAAGGTTACGCCTAACCAAGGGGCAGCAACTTCTACGCTCTCTATGGGCAATACGAACACTGGCGACAACAAACTTGCCGAAAATGAGCATACGCCGACAAATAATGGCCGGACGGTGGCGGAGGCGGTGACGGTCGAAACAACGACAAAAGCGCAAAGAGATGATGGTGGTCAGCACCAACAACCGGAGGAACGAGCGACCAAAGGCGACGCCATTGCTCGAGATTCAAAGGAGGGTAACAACGGAAGTGCCGACCCCGACGCAATCGGAGGAGGAGAAGCGAGGACGGATCCCCTGGTGCTCCCTAGTTGGCAACTGCCGACAAAACCAGACGAGGAGGGGCTATGAGGGGCACGCTGGTGGTGGAAACCCCACCAACAAGTGCGGGGTCCGATGCGATTTCTGAAGGGGAAGTTCGTTTCGTCGACGTCGGCGGTCATGTGGCGTTTCGCGCCGCCGTAGAGAGCTACCAGTGTAGTGTTGGTGGCAGCGAACGCGGTGATCGGCAGCGTGATACGTACAGGGCGATGAAATCGGTCGAACCCAGGGGTCTTTGATATTCAAGAAGCGAAGCCACTTCGTAGATGATGTCCGATGTCCTTCCGGGATATTGTTCTTGGAAAACAATATCACCTCCTCTTGTTCTGAAGCGGGAGGAATGTTCCATCCGGGTCGACTCCATATCGGGTCAGCACATCTAGCCCACCATGCACTCGTGGAATAGTGCTAATCATGATGGAAGTCGTATGTGCTGCTGGTTGGCTGTCAACTTCTACGACTGGATCCGCGACCACAGGATGGCAGTGAAATACTCGAAATGTGATCCAATCACCTATTCGACGTTGGTGTTTCGGCGGGCTTTGCCTCGATCAAAATTTGGCGGGAGTGATCTGATTGATCTTACATAACAGCCGCCGAGAGCATTTCTGAACGCAGTTGTGGACATTGCCCTCGCGACTGCGCCGGGATTCGTACAAGAGGATACCGACAAGGCACATTCTATCCCATAAAATGGGTAATGGTGAACGTACACATTTTCGCGAAGCCATCCCAACTGAGGGGTCCACCGCTTCGAATTGGCCTGCCACTTCCATGAGATACGCGACGCCCGCAACAGCACCTGCTGTGACGGTGTGTCCGCAACCCGTCAAACAACCCTGCTTCAACGCTCAAGTGTGCCCACTAGTGGCGGTCACGGATATTTTTTAAGAGAGAGGCGCCGATCGATTGCCCTTTCTCTTTCGACTACTCCCACCCACAGCGCCGGCAAAAGCCGACAATCGGAGGCAAAGAGCCATCAGATGAATGGCCCGCGTAGCCTTGTTATCTCAAATCTCAGGGGGTTTCGACTGCGTGACGGTGACATCTCCAATCCTCGCCTGTGGGACCGGGGCGCGTGGTCGCATGGGTAGGGACGGACGAGAGTGCGAAAGGAAAATGACGCGGGGAAGAAAAGACAGGCCGAGATGAGCAATCAGCCAAAGCGTCGTCTGTGCGTGAGCGCCGCAGAGCTGGACCCGGTCAGAGAGCTATGATCCCCTGAGAGGGGTACGCACATCGAAGTGCCTCGCACTTCAGCTCCAATTCTGGTCGTGGTGGAAGTTTCCGGCCTGCTTTAAAGCACCGGGGTAGCTCGAAAATTACGACAAAAAATCATAGCCACTGAAGGCTGGCTCAGTTGGGTTAGGTACCGTACGGTACGGTCCGCCAACGACGTTAACCCAGAGAACGCGAGGGCAGTCGTGGGACAACAGGATGGCCAAAATGCCGTGGGCAGATGGTACGATAGATACACTGTAGGCTTGTGGAACGTTTTCAGGCATTCTTGTCCTATGATAGTACTAGTTTCGATGTTCACCTGGCCAGAACCTCTCCGCTTCGGCTGTGGCTGAGACTCGTGTGGCGCCCACCCGATCATGTACACCACCTGGAAGGTGGCCTGCACGGTGCCATCGTCTTCTCCGTACAGCTCTTGAAACCGTCCATCGATGAATCGGACCGAAGCAACAAGGGGCAGACCAACGGGAAGGAAGGGGGTGGTCACCGATGGTGGCCAAAACCATTCAAGCGTCTCGAGGAAGTAAGTTCCCTTCAAGGATCCTGCTGATTGTTATCTACACTGCCAAGGGCTTTTGACGTTCCGGGTGGGTGGATGCGAAAGAGCCGTAGCCTGTTAACAGTTTTTGTCCTTGGGGGAAACCTTTGGCACGCGATTGGAAGCCTGCTAGCCTACCGATGACTTCCATACCGAAGCGATTGTTGTCCGAAGAACGAAGGAAGCGACAGAAAATCAACTCTTCGGGCAGTGGAAGATGCTACACAACTAACTTGGAGACGGCATCTCCTCGGAAGACAGACGCGCGAAACGGCGTGGTGATAGCTCGCTTGCACCATCCACTCCCTGGAAAGTGCTGCTAAAGACCGCGCGGAGACGCGGCCGAAATGGAAAACACAACAGCCGCATTGGGCCCATGACCGTATGCGTCCCAGTGATACCTATTTCGAGTGTGTTCCTGTGCACGGGGGCGGCTACCGCTTGTTCGCGCGCCGAAAAAGTCCCCCGCGACGGTCAGTTGGTTCATGATATACGCTCCTCACCTTGGTACGCCGCCGCTGCCGCGAGCATGGTTTCTCTGCTGACCCGTGGCCGGGTGTTCATGGCGGCGTTCGACTCGCCCATCCCCTACATACAAGAAGGGGCACGACAAGAAAACAACGACCATCACCAAATCACCAACAAGACACACTCTCGCGGCAAAGGACGTAAAAACTGATGTAAGTAAAATTTGAATGAGAAGGCCGGATCCAAAGACAGAGAGCTCTCGCCGTTCGGACCAGCAGCCAGAACCGAAGGGTTGTTCAACGTTCGCATGCAACCCCCCCTTACCTGTAGGTGTTCCATCAAGACGAAGGCGTTCGGGTATCCCACCCGAACGGTGTCCTGATCCACGGTGGGCAGCGAGAACCCCGCGGATTGCAGCAGGCTCCCGCAGTCCGCCACGTGCGCAGACGGTGACGTGTGAATCGACTGACCCCCCTGGCAATATCGAGACATGGCGACGGAAACATGCGTATCAGCCAAAGCACGGTCGACATGTGGCCCGCAAGGTGCTCTACCAATCCCGGGCATGGTCAAAAAAAGGGTAGCGTTTGGTCGTGTTTCAGCAGCAGAGCAGGACTAGTCAAAATCGAAGTGCCTGGAAGTAACGGTAGAGTAGCCAACCCTCCGCACGACACACGCCGATGTAGTCACGTGCTCATCCCATGCATCCGTTGGGCGTGTTTTAGAGGACGGAGGGGGGCGAAGTTTATCGTGGGGAGAAGAGTGGGACTTTTGTGCTCGCGCAAACCCCTTCATCTTCGAGGCGAGAAAAAAATCGAGTGCTTGTTGCGGGTGGCGGTCGGAGCCCATTCACAGGTGGCGCGCATGCTACCAGAAACGCGGCCGTTAAACACGCGCACACACCAACATGGTGCAATCATGTAGCCTGCCGGCGGGGATCGCTGTGCACTAACTAACCTCACGCTCCTGCTCGGCGAGGAGCAGACAGCTCCGCAACTCTGTCAGCGTTGAGCCGCCGAGCATCGCACCGATGAATGCCCCGTCTGGTTTGAGGACCTGAACAGTACGGATGCGAAAGGAAACCGAAACAGTCATGGAGACAGGAAGAGGGGGGGGGCAGGGGGGGGCAGGAGGGAACGCTTTACTTGCGGCGGGTTCACGTTGGTGCCGTGAGCACTGAATGCGGGGGATGCAGCGAAGGAAGCGCCGCCTGCTGCTTTGCTTTGTAACGGGAGGCGAAGACAGCACCAACAATCGACTCCACACGTGCTTGTCATTCCTTCATCCTTCATCCTTCATTCTCTAACCCGAGCACTGCTGCTACCCTGCCGGCAAGGGCGTTCAGCAAACCCTCGATACCCATGCACAAAAATGACTCGGAACGCTCCCGAGGGCAACCCACTAACGCTCACGGTGACAGCACAAGCGTGTCTTAGCTTCCAGGATGCAAGTGTGGAACTTTGTATCGGCGACAGAGTAACGGAGGGAGGCAGAGAGGCAGATTTGAGGCACGCAACAACGACCCAGACCTGCTTGATTTGCCCCAGCGCGCCCGGAAGATCGTTGACCCAGTGCAAAGCCAGGTTGCTGAGGACGAGGTCGAAAGACGCCGGGGCGAACGGTAAGAACTCCTCGTCCGCTACGACGCAGCAAGTATCAACCTCCACAGATCCTTCCTCCCCCGCCGCTGCCCCCCTACGACTTTCTTCTTGCCGGGAGCGGCTGGAGCTGGCCCCCCTTAGCAAGGCCTTCTCGGATATGTCGCACTGCGTCAAGTGCTCGACGCCCCCGACCCCGCCCTTGCCGTTCAACCCCGGCTGTGTTTTTTTCGGTTTTTAGGCCCCGATGTAGGGCGGTGGGGTGCGTGTGTAGTCGGCGGAGATTGTGTGTGTTGGTGGTGCGGGTTTGATTCGCTCATGCTCAGCAAGTTTCCGCAGCTCGAAGTTCAGCTTAACCTACTGTGTGACCAACGCGCCGAATTCGTCGAAGCAGTCTCGCCAAGACAGAATACTATGCTGAACTGGACCGATAAGAGACCAGTGAGCCACGACCTGTTCGGCTAGGACTACGGGGGGGAAACTGGTCTCAATTTCGGGCTCTCCTCTGAGAAGTGTTCACCAGACCGGTTCCCCACACATTGATTCGAGCGTCCTAAATATTCCACAGTGTTGTCCACATGGATACCTATCGGTCGCTGATCAGCAGGCAGTGTTTTCCGCTTCTGTGGACGCGGAGGAAACAAATAGGGCCAACATCTGTCGCCCTGGCTTGGTTGCGTACAGGGAAGAGATGGGCGCGCTACGCAAGATTCTTTGGGCGCGCGCAGTAAAAGGGGGCACAAACAAACACACCCGGGTGCTTGAAAAAACACCAGGAACTCAGAAAACGCGCCCGCGCACGTGACGGATTTGCGTGGTCGTGGGAGAAAGACTCGTGCGAGGAGCTGTGTGCCCGCGGCACGAAGATCGCATCTCATCCACATCGCTTGGCAATGGTTGCGTTGTCTCTGAACCGCCACACAGTACCTTTTCACAAATGGCGTTATAGATGTGTCCAGCGTGCGCTCCGACATCGAGCGCTCGTGGAAACTCTCTCGAGATGTCCTGGAGGAGATAGGGGCGGGGGGGGGAGGGGCACCGAATATCAGACCCCCTGTCCCATCCAATTAGACGTACATGTGGGGATTCGTAGATTCCCATGGAACGGTCGACAAAAGCATAAGTTTCCTATGGTAGCAGTACGAGCAGCCGCCGTGCTCAGTCGTGGTTGGTCTCCCACAACACGCCCCTGCTTAGCCCCCTAACTGCGTGCGCCGCAGCTACCGAAAATAACAGTAGTCTACGCAGCAAAATTGATTAAGCAAACACATGGGATAAAGTATCCAATCCGTGCGTTGGGGTTAGGGTTAGGGTTAGGGATATGTTCTGCGTGCCCCCTCCCTATTCTTTTTCTAGATTCTCTTAAGATCCTGAGTAGGCGGTCCGAAAGTAGCGCCGCTATGATCGTACGTGTGACTGTTCGAACTTGTCCATGATTGTCAGCCCTACGTCCCTGCCGATAATGCCGCCAGCCTACAGCAAAGCATTGCCAGATTTACAAGGAAGATAGACGCGTTGTGCCTGTTGGAGTATGGAGATTGACTTGCGGGTCGGTGTGCTCAATCGTACGATGTGGACCTTTCTCTGTTGACAGTCAGTACACAAGCAGCGCGTGCTGGTTAGACGATTGCGTGTAGCTGTAAAAATTCGCACTCGTGTGGCAGGAAGTCTTGCACACTACCATATAAGAAGCGAGGAAGGGGAGTCAGTGCCTTCACCGATCAACAACTACTTCGCACGACTGCTGCAGCCGTTCCGACGATATTACAAAATGTTCTGCTGTTGTCCTCAACAACGCGGAGTTCTGTCAAAAATGCAAACCGAGGAAGTAAGGGAGGTGTATGGCAATGGAGTGATACTACAGCATGTTGGTAGAGAAGACCGCCGCCCAACGAATCAAGCCGGAACAACGTGACATGGTTGCACCTCTATTCTATCCACGAGGACCCTTGCGATGTGCTCCCTCAGGTAGTCGAATTCTCCCTCCCAGTCAGCGGCCGCGGCTCGGTCCCGTTGGCGTCGTTTCGCCGTGCGATCGAACACCTTGACTGCTGGCGTGCCATCCCCCCCACCACCGCTCGCGGCGAATGACCGGCATGCTCGCCCTTTGCCCAGATGGTGCTGCCATGGCTTGGCCGCTATCACTCGCCTCGATATCATGTCGTGCGTAGACGGACAGCACACAGCAGTGTGACAGAGACCGTGTGGCACACAAGCGTACATAGGAGGGACAACGGGGGGGGAAGGGCGTCGATCATCTTGCGGAGCGCCTCCGGAGTTTGACGTGGGTGAGGCGCAGATCAGCACCCGGTGTCCTCTGCTCGTCACGTTCAGCTCCCGTCGCCAGGCGTAGGCATGAGCTCTTCAGCCCTTGAGAAGTGGGTCGTGTGCCGCCGAGTTAAGGCGGATGCCTCGATTCGGCTCTTCTGCGCGGTGAGGGGGGGTGGTCTCGTCGTCATCGACGCGTCCCCGAGTTCAGATCTCTTACCTTGATGCGCATGTTTTGAAACTTTGTGCACAGCACCCACGTTCCTGTTGTGCAAGTTGTCGTGGTACTAGCGATGCAGCGTCATGCACCCGAGGTATGGAATGTCGTGCTTGAACCATAGCCACGGGCGCGGTAGTGCAGCTCTCCAAGTCTTCAAAAAGCAGCTCTCTCGTAATTGCGCCGCACCTCCACACCTCCAACGAACTGCTGTGTTCATGTTACGTTTTTACGTAAGGAAGAAGCTAACGCGAACAATTCTGTGTGCACGTTTTGGCATGGATGGTATATGTAGTGCTCAGATTGCATTGCTGTCCTGATATGTGAAGATAGGCGTGGGCCGGTGGCAGCGCGAGCTCGTTTAACAAGTGGACCTCGAAGATGCCGGAAGCGGTGGAACTACACGCGCTTGAGTTCCCCGGGAGAATGAGGTAGGTAGTAGATACGGCTTCAGACACACCCTATGGATTGCTGGTAAATGAAGAGCGTGCTTCACGCGCTGGCGTCTTTGGGTTACACTGGCAACATTTGCTATTCGAGCGTGTTCCTCTGGTCCCATGTAAATGTTGTATTTCGTGTGGTCTATTCGCGAACCCACGCGCCGCAAGAGAGGAGCAGATGTTGTTGCCTACATCACTCCCGTATCCCCCCACTTCCACCATAGGGATGAGTGCCGCAATTTTCCGACATAGGTAATCCTTTTGGAGTACCACAAGGTAGAAATATCAGTATTGGTGCTGTAGTACACATGGACGGGCATTGAGACGATCAACGGCTGTTGTCAAGTTGACTTTTGGCCAGCATCGTCGTGACACAGGTAATGTGGATGGAAGTCTCCCGTTACACTTGGTTTTTGTTGCGATGCTTCTTCAACCATGCCTCATCATGGAGCACCGTGTCCTGTGCATGCCACTAATACAGGCGATCCAAGGAGGATAGTCTGACGTCCGTCTCTGCCATCGTGGAAGGGGTCGCTCAGGTGGGTGGGTAGGCGGGATGCCGCGAGGAGGCCCGGGCGGATTTGTTGGAGTTGATACGCAGCTGTCATCCGTACGCAAGGAAGTAAGCACAACATGCCGAACACCCTTAGCAGGATGCAGCGCACCCTTCATGCGACTCGCCGAATACCTCACGGCGCTTCGCGCTTGGTGATGTGAGAGCCTG